TATATAAAAAGTCGTTAGGAATGTTCGTAGGCAGCATACGCTGTATATGCCACAGAAGTGGCACAAGCCCAACTGCCGAGCCCTCTTTCCCGTAAAGTATGAAGCTGTACACGAGAGGAATCGTTTGTGCCACCTAATTGAAGCAAAGCCAAATATTTACTACTGGTGCATTAATGCGTCACAAAATGAGGAACGTGGCAAAATGTCCCATGCTGCTCAGTAATGGCTCGTCTCAAGATGGCGCATGAAACGCCAAGCGCGTGCAGCAGCCTACTCGAGGGGATGCATGCTGCGACAAAATAGCGTGTGCTGCTCAAAAAGACAAAATTCAGGAAGCATACGGGCAACTTATGGCCTGCGAGGAACAGTATCGCCATGAAGCAGCTCGCCTGTGGTAATTTGGGGCTGAGGTCGAATAAGTTGGAGCTCGCGAGGCACACAGGTGCACCTGAAGCAACAACTAAACCGCATAACACAGTTCCGGAACACTTTACTATGCCTGGCTGATAAACCCAGTGATCCACACCAGGGCCGCCCTTTGCAGCGTCAATGTTCTATTATGTAGACCGGTTGCGAATGTGGTGATGATGTTTGACTTATCTCTATTACACTCACTTAGGTAGCGAATCCTCTTATTTATCGTGCACCGCGTTCCTAAAGTCACTGTAAAATGACGCACATTAGACCTTTGATTATAAAAGAAAGAAAGGTATCTTCGTTAAAATAGTGCCAAGCCAGAAAGAAGAGCGAAACTAGGTGGCATTTATTCTCTCTTTTTATTATTTAGGGGTGGAGCTCCGAAAGCCGTGGGTCTGTACATCCTCCGTACGTGACCACCTAGTTGCATGACTCACTCAGCAGAGAGATGGACAGGTGGACAGACAGACGGACGGATAGATGGACAGACGGAAAGACAGACGGACAGACAGACAGACAGACAGACAGATAGACAGACAGACAGACAGACAGACAGACATACATACATACATACATACATACATACAGATGGACGGATGAATAGACGGATGGACAGACGAACGCCGGATTCACGGTTTCCCATTAAAACCCTCCCAATCTTCCCCCCCTCATCATCATGCAAAGATTTTTTTTCTTCATTCTGTCTCTGTTTCTTGTGTGTGTTTTTTGTACGTCTCTCTGTAAATCTTTTTCTGCATATTTCTTTTCTCGCACTTTCTATCTTTGTTCCTCTTTCCTGCCTTTTTTTTCTCTCTCTCTTCATCTTCTTTTCTAAGCCATTCAATATATTTCTGCTTTTTTATCAATTTGTTTGCCTATTTCTTCCTTTCTGCCTAGCTATATGTCGGTGTATTCTATTCCTTTTTCGTGTCTGTCAATTTCTAATTCTTACACTCTCTTTTCATGTATTTTGCTGTTTTCGTTTTTTTGACGTCATTGCCGGCCTGTTGGTCGCGGGATCAAACCCCGCCCGCGGCGGCTGTGTTTTCGATGACGGTGTAAGTTTTTGAGGCCTGTGTTTTTACATTTAGGCGCACGTTAAAGAAGACCAAGTTGTGATAATTTCTGGTACCCTCCACTGTGGCGTTCCGAAAACGATATCGTAGTTTTGGGATGTTAAAAGTAATCAAGTATTATTTTTATATTGTTATTACCTTCATTTGCGCCCATTTCTGTAATATTTTTGTCTTTCATTCTACCGGTTTCTCTCTTCCTTTTTCTATATTTCATCATCATCATCAGCCTGACTACGGCCACTGCAGGCCAAAAGCCTCTCACATGATCCGCCATTGAACCCTGCCTTATTTTTCCTGCTGCCACGTTATACCTGCGAACTTTCTAATCTCATCAGCTCACGCAACCTTCTGTCTCCCCTTCCTTCGTTTGCTTCTCTGGAAATCCCGTCAGTTCCCCTAATGGACAGCGCTAATCCTGCTTACGTGCTACGTGCGTGGCCCAAGTCGACCCATTCCTTCTTTTTGATTTCAACTGTGATATCCTGGACCACGCTTTCTTCCCTGACCTACTCTGCCATCTTCTTATCTCTTAAGGTTACACCTATCATTTCACTTTCCATCGATGATTGTGTCGTCTTATATCGCAGCTGAAACCCATTTGTAAGTTTTCAGGTTTCTGCTCCGTAGGCAAATACTGCCAAGAGGCAGCTGCTCTATACCATCCTCTTGAGGGTTAGCAGCAGATTACCATTCATAATATGAATATTCTTTCCGAATGTGATCCACCGCATCCTTATTATTCTAGTTGTTTCACTCTCATGATTCGGTTCTGCAGTTACTACCCGTTCTAAGTAGACATATTCCTTTACAATTTCAAGACTGATCGTTGCCGCGCTATCACGACAACGAACAGTGCGCGGCTTGTCCCCCCTCCAGTAGGCAAGAGCTTCTACTGACTGCGCTGTCAACACGAAAAAACGGTGCCAAACGTTTACCTGGTGCGGCCATGTTCCCTTACCCCAGCGTTTTGAGAGTTACATGAGATCAGATTAAAATCAGTTGACTGCCAGCCTTACTTCGTACAACATTGCAAGATATTGCATTTTCTCACTATAGCCACACTGCAGGAAACTTGGTTACTTAGCAAGCGCATGTTTACTAAATATTACTTCTCATAAATACGCTAGCTTTGCTTCGTAAAAGATTCCAATATGTTGCTTTCACATTCACTGATTGGCCGTTTTGGCAAAACTGTGACTTTTTTATACACAATTTCTCTACCATGTTTCAGTAGGTTCGTCACCTTATGCTCACAATTACCCTTTCAATATGTATCTTTTTTTCACTATATCTTTTCACTTTCTGTATTTATTTTTTTATTTTCTCTTCTGCATCTCTATCGTTCACTTGTGTGACATGCTCCACTTCACCAAGCTTCCCCAAAGTTCATAGTTTCGCACTCACACCTGCTGTATTAAGTGGATCTTCGTTCCCGTTGGCCTGTGGAGCTTGCACAATTACTGCGGCGTACCTAAAAAAGTCGGAGCTCACCAAGGTCCTCTCGCAATGCTTGCTGGTGTGTTACGAGTTTCGTGTTTAATGGCGATTTTCAACAGCCCCCCCCCCTTCTCAATATCTTGAACGCACCCTGACTGTATTTGTCGATGGGGCGAATACCGTAACTCCTCCTCTTTTCATGGCCGCTGAGCGGGGCCCCCATGACGGGAGGCAGAAATTAAGACCCTTTTATCTTCCCTTTTTCACAACCACTCCGTTTTTCTCTCTCTCTTTCTTTGCGCGTCCTAGTGCCCTATAGCACCACTTTGTAATCTGGTTCCCCGCCTATCTTGGCCAGGTTCCGGGTGCCCCATCCAACCTCAACGTGATCGCCCAAGATGCAGCGCGTGCACTTACCAAATGCACCACCACAGGGCAACCCCATCTTGCTGAGCTAGAGATAAATCGGGATGCAACCATTACGTACAGCGACATAACAAAGCACTTTCACCTTGAACGCCGAATTTTTTCACCCCAACATTCGAAACTTAAAAGACCACAGGCATTATTAACCCCTACGGCTATTACAGACACACACGTACCAAAAACCTTGCCAAACTTCGTTTATTAGACTGATGCACACCCGAGCGACACATGCCCTTGTGTGGACACACGGTTACGCTCTCACACATTCACTGGGAATGTAGAAACACTCCTCCCAACTCTTCCTCAAACTAGTGGGAGAGGTCCCTCAGGAGCTCACTTCCACCGACCTGCAATGGGCCGCCCAGAAGGCCCACGAATCGGCCGCCAGGTACTCCTTGCCAGTCTCTGCGTGGGAGACGCTCGCTACGCGCTAAGAGTGTCCTGCAGGACCGAAATAAAGTTTTTCATTCCATTCCGTTCTCTCTGCGCACGCGGTAGAGTTGGTCACGGCGGATCCCTACGCTCAGCTGCCTCTGTTAGGCTAGTAACGAGTGCCATAGTCGAGCAGGTCATTGTGGCTCTAGCGATGATCAACCTCTCAACACGAACATAGTTACAGTGCCCCGCGACACCAATAAAGGTAAAATATTTCACATGAAGCATCCCACAATATACAAACGCGTAAGCACAAGGCCTAGCAGTAAATTTCTTGGTTTGCTGTCTACATGGACAAATACGTCCACTAAGAGCAAGCAACCCAACCTCAACGAAATGCCTCAGGACCCACCGCGAGAGTCGAACCACCACGATAATTAATCAGTCATCGAAAAGGTTTGGCCTGAAACAGAGTTTAATGACCCCCCCCCCCTCATCTACCAAGATTTCACTTCTCACTATCATGATGACAAAAGAGAATGCCCCTTACCGCACACACAGCTCGAACACACGCAAGCGGTAGCCTACGTACGAGATCGTACCCATCATCTGGACAACTCCGCACTACAGCCCAGACACAATGCCCACATTGCACAGACGTTTATTCTTCACTCTCGCACATGCTCTGGCAGACTACTACAGTATATTGGGGACCTGTCACCAGTGAATCCGACTGGAAACAGGAACTCGGGAGCCACTGACCAGAAGACGATTGATTGTGCGCCTAAGAACTCGGATCGCCCGGGAGCTCAAACTCTTCAGGACCTTTGGAAAATGCTTTACTGACTGACGAATACATGTTTTATGCAGGAGCGGCACTGTAAGGAGATTTGTTGGGGGTATGTGAGGCACATTGTGCTTGTGTTTACAGAATGTTGACCTGTACAGTAGAGAATAGCCTCCGCTATTCAAAAAAACACCGATGCAAAAGAAGTGATAGTCATATAAATGCCGGCGTAGTGGTGCCTTGGTTTCTCCTCTGTCCATGTTCACCCCGAAGATAACTTATGCGCGGCATCGAGTGTGATGTAACTTGTGCAAGTCGGCCATGGAACTACAGAAATTTTTTTTCGCTAAAGGTCACTCTTGGCGTGTTCTGCACAAAAGCGAAGAGAACACACACTTTGTATGGCGACTCGGTCAGCAATCTATATCACTAACTGATGCAGGTCGTGAGCTCCATATATTTTTTGTGAGTTTTATTCTCACTCAAGTCGGAAGGCCTGCACCGGTCAGGGAGTGATGCAGCAACGACGGTCCACTGGAAGTTGGCTTAAGTTTCTTCGGGTCCTGTGCAGGAGTGTAGAAAGCTGGGAGACCAAATAGCTCGGGCTTGAACTCAAGCAGCGAGGTCACGCAAGTAGTGGCCTTACGCCGGTGCTCTTCGTCGATGCGAGGATCGGGAACCATGACAACCTGCATTCCGGCAGCCAGGGCAGCCGTCACGCCGTTGACCGCGTCTTCAAACACCAGAACCTGCACGAGACGGTGTGTTTGTTCGCAATACACGTTTCTTGTTATTCATAGTCTCTTGAACTTAGTCAAATGACGCACTATGGTGGCCAGAGGATGGAGTTTCCAGGTAGTCGGAAATTTACACAGCACGTAAAAAATCCGTTGTCTGAACGGCACGTACTCAAGAAGGGTGTTCAACCTGTAGACACGAGATGTAAAGTTGGTCCCCTCCTGAGGTTTCTCCCTTACTTCAAACTCTGGCTGCTGCTGTCTTGTTGATTCCGCATCTTCATGAAGTAAGTGAAAAATATTTAGGAGTAGCTGCCCAAACACTCAACCTAGAAAATGTGGCATGCGCAAGTGCGTTCATTAATATACATGCGTGTATACACGAGCATTTTGACGCAGTAACGAGGACGTCAAAAGGTGAATGCAGCATAGAAGCTTCCTTATATCTACGCCAATACAAATCAATTCATTGAAGCGACACGCTCTTCTCAGGTTATGTTTCTGCCAAATGTGCGTGTTTCTGTTACCTTCTCCGATGGTGGTTTCCCGTCGAACCTAGACGCCGCGACGAGGAATATATCTGGGTGTGGTTTGCCACGCTTAACTTCGGGGTTCTCACCCGCGCAGACAACGTGATGGAACAAAGCCAGCACATCATGGTGTCGCGTCAATTTCAGGTCGAACAAGGGCGCAGCAGAACCGGTCGCAATGGCCATGGGCACAGCATGCTCGTGTAGGTGACGCACAAGCCTTTCGGCACCTAGGAAATCATGATAAAGGAGGTATACTTTGCTATTTTCCAAACAAAATTAGTACATACATTACACTTGAAACGCGCCTCAGGAGAAAATGAGCGTCGCACACATTCGCCACGTAAGATTTGAGTGGTTATGTGGGGCACCGTAGTAAGCTTTATATCGAAAAGAGAGAGTGGCGCCCAAGAATGCCATAGTGTGTTCCATCTTTATATTCGTTTAGAGCTAAATGAAATGGCTCTCTGTCTCGCCATAATTGGCCCATTCGTGCTCAACGGGCATAAACTGGGCGCTGGGGGCCATCTCCTTGTATATGCAGTCCACCGCCACCATGAACTCGTCTGGTTCCAGGGGCAGACTCAGGGCCTCGACGATCGTGTGCGCTGCGTCAGCTTCGGTGAATCCCAGCACCCGCTTCTTAAGTTCCCAGGTGAGATTTTTGAGAAGCGTGAGGCCACGGTCTCCACAGCAGCGGAATACAGCTTCTCCGTGTCTTGTGGTGGTGCCAAAAATGGTACGTGTATGTACAAGAACGATGAACGCGTTGCTTCACCAGCGTGATTATAAGAATCTTTCGCCTCATGACAACACTGAATTTTTTCAAGACAGTCAAACAGCGAGAAAATAAGCATAGACAAGAGGATCTGGTCAGCACACGTGCTGCGCAGCGAAGTGTGAAGTACATCTCGAGGTCACGTGCTGCTTGAGCTCAAGAGTGCGTGCATACGAAAACAAACTTATAGGAAAATAGCAACTTACACACACACACACACACACACACACACACACACACACACACACACACACACACACACACACACACACACACACACACACACGCACGCACGCACGCACGCACGCACCTGACCCATTATTAAGTGTGGCCTGCTGCTAGAACTCTTCTTACCGGGGTAACCGTAAGCGATGTCATCCTGACAAGACACTGTGGCTTTTTGATATTGCTAGAGGCATTTTCACTTGTATCGAAGTTTGCACAATAAGTATGATCCTATGTTACCTAAAAGAAGGCCGTCCAAGTCGAAGATGACATAAGACACTGGCTTGAACTTAGACCCGGGTGCTTGTGGCTTTATGTCTTTGATGCTTTCCGAACGACTCGGACCTGTGCCAAAGATGATTGAAACAGAATCACAGAGACGTAATTACACAACATTTATTGTCGGCAGGTGGAATAACCAATATCAAAAGAAATGCTGCTCAACAGAGTGATTGAACGTTCTGAAAAAAAACTTTTGGCACTAGCTCACACCTGTGGAGTGCCGGCTCAGTGAGGGTAGACGAAAATCACTCAGAGAAGTAAAAAAAAAGCTGCAGAGTTTAGCCAATTTAATTTGTTCCATTTTTAGTTTATATTACCGCGTGCATAGCTGCATTAACGGCGAGATTGTGACGACAACGAAGAACGCGGATTTGCTCGAGAGGCGCAGCGCAGATGAGAGAAGAAGACGACAGTCTTAGCGGCCTTCTTTTGAGAGCGTCTCTACGAGTTCCACTTTCCATGTTTTTAAATAAACCCCCTGCATTTATAACCCGCGACACTGGTGGAGGAGCTGGGTTTTACTACCATTTTATAATCTGTTCCTCTGTGAGAAGCCCTGAGTTCAGCCCTACGAGACAACCACGCGTGGAGACGCCTGTGCACCACTCAAGCCGTCGCTTTCAAGGTATTGAACCAGTATTTGGCCTTTTAGAGGAAGCAACACTTCCGACAGCCACCCCAACTCAAGAAAAAGCAAGGAGTCCTGCACTGCTGACGGTCCAGAATATGCGCATTCCTGAACCATTTGATGGCCGGCCGAACGAAGATGCGCAAGACTGGCAGTTTGAACGGGTAGCTAAAGTGAACTACTGGAGTCTCGATGGAAAGCTCTTCCACGTATATTTCGCCCTCGAAGACGGCACGAAGACGTGGTTTATAAACCGCGAGGCAACATTGACGATATGGGAGGAGTTTTGTCGTCGGTTTCTTGACACCTTCGGTAGCGCGGACCGACGCGAAAACGCACAACGCCTTCTTGAAGGACGCACCCAACAGCTGCATGAAAGGGTCGCCATGTTTGCTGAAGATATGGTGCGTCCGTGTCACCGCGCGGACCCCAACACACCCGAAGCTCAAAAGCTAAGCCATCTCATGAGGGGCGTCAGAGAGCAGCTATTTGTTGGTCTTGTGCGCAATCCGCCAACAACAGTGGACGAGTTCACCAGGAAGGCCACCGCATTAGAGCTTTCGTTCCAGCAACTGTACCGACAGTCTGATCACCCGGCCACCGGCGCAGCTGCTGGCGCCGCCACACTCACCGCAACGACGAGTTTTCTCTACGCCACCTGATTAGACTGACTGGGCGTGAGAAGATCACGAAGGAGAACGCAAAGTACATATTGCAGTCACAGGCGCCCCCGCAGCAGGAGTCCACGGTAGCCTCCATCGCAGAATTTGTTCGCCAGGAACTTCGACAAGCGTTTGCCTCTCAGCAATATTCCACTCCACCGTACCATCCAAACTCGTGTACCTACGCAGCTACTGTGCGTCGTCCATTGGGTCCAGAAGTATCCTACCAGCCAAACAAATACAGCTATGCAGACGCTGTTCGTCGACCCACGCCCATGCCAGCACCGGAGTACATCGAACCGTATCCTGTGGCAGCCTGGGCTCAGCATGATTCTGTCAGGTGACCCTATATGCGGAAGACCGACATATAGTGCACTGCGGATCGCCGACCACTCTTCTGCAACTGTGGAGAGCCAGGGCAAATTTAACGTTGTTGCCCACATCACCGAGCTGAATACAGCGGTAGTGCACCTACAGCTACGCGCCGACAGTTCGACGAAAGTCGTGCCCCATCGACGACGACAAGGCTGGCCGGCGGGAAGGCTCTGCTACCTTCCGGACGCGCTCACCATCCCCGGCTCGCTTTGGTTCACCAAGCCACAGTAGTTTTGATGACGCTGTCAGAGGTCGGTCTCCCAGCCCACGGCGGGGAAACTGAAAGCAGCGACCTCTGGGGGGAAGGTTTCAAGCCGTCGAATTGCCGAAAATCTCCCACTGCTGCCGAAACACGAGAGAGACGACGATGAAGACTCCGCCGAGAAAACTATGACTGCCGATTCGCTGTGACGATTGATGGCGTTGAAGTGACGGCCTTAGTCGATACGGGTGCAGAATTTTCCATAATGAGTGAACGATTGGCAGATGAACTCAATAAAGTCAGGATGGAATGGACTGGCCCGTGTGTCCGAAATGCTGGAGGCCAGATAATGACACCCACGGGAAAATGTAGAGCAAGACTCGCGGTTGAGAATGTGGCTTTTCTAGCCACATTTCTGATCCTACCAGAGTGCTGCAAACCTATGATACAGGAAAGGGATTCCTTAAGAGAGTACGGTGCTGTGGTCAACATACGCGATGGTGTGATTACATTCGCCGCTGACAAGCCTGTGACCCATTATCCAGACCAAGAAGCCAGGTTGTTACGTGTGGTCGACGACGACGTCTGCGTGCCACCACTGTCATGTAGTCTTGTTTCCGTGTGTTGCGGCGTGCACTGTAATGAAGACGCCATAGCCGAACACATCACTGCCCTTCTTTTTCGCCAAGGCATCGCCATCGCTTGCGGCATCGTCAGCTTAGTGGATGGGCGCGCAGAGATGCTTCTGACCAACTTCACGAATGAGTGCCGGCACATCGGTAAAGGCACTGTGGCGTACCTCGAAGAGCTCGACTACTCTCACGACTGTCTTCTTATGTAGGGGGAAGTCACAGCTCAATCACCTCCACATACACCACGAGTCGACAGTGGTCTGAGTCTAACACCGACTGAAAGATGCTGTCTTATAGAGCTGCTCTACCAGTTCAAGGGCTGCTTCTCATCGACATCAAGAGTAGGTCGAACGCCTCTGACTAAGCATCGCATCATTACGGAAGACACAACAAGACCGATCCGACAGAACCCATATCGCGTCGCTCAGAGAGAACGTGAGGTAATGCAGCAGCAAGTCAAGAGGATGCTATAGGATGATGTAATCCAACCATGAAAGAGTCCAGTAGATATCGGTCCGAGTCTAACACCGACTGAAAGATGGCGTCTTATGGAGCTGCTCAACCAGTTCAAGGACTGCTTCTCATCGACATCACGAGTGGGTCGAACGACTGTGACTAAGCATCGCAACATTACGGAAGACAGAACAAGACTGATTCGACAGAACCAATGTCGCGTCGCTCAGAAAGAACGTAAGGTAATCTAGCAGCAAGTCAAGAAGATGCTAGAGGATGATGTAATCCAACCATAAAAGAATCCTTGGGCATCGTTAGTGGTACTCGTGAAAAAGAAAGATGGCAGCTTGCCTTTCTGCATCGATTATCGTAGGCTAAACCACGTTACAAAAAGACGTTTATCCATTACCACGGATCGATGACTCTTCGGACAGGCTACGGCATGCGCGCTACTTCTCGTCAAAAGACCTTAAAAGTGGATACTGGCAAATAGAAGTAGATGAGCGCGACCGAGAAAAGACCGCCTTCGTGACGCCAGAGGGGCTTTATGAATTCAAAGTCCTCCCTTTCGGTCTATGCTTAGTCCCAGCCACGTTTCAGAGACTAATAAATACCATTCTGTCCAGCCTGAAATAGAAAACATGCCTTTTGTACCTCGACGACGTGATTGTTTTTTCGGCCACGTTTGAAGAACATATAAAGCGGCTACTGTCAGTCATTAAAGCCATACGGTCCGCTGGACTCACACTCAAACCGGAAAAATGCCCCTTCATTTCGGAGAACTCCAGTACCTAGGACACGTGGTCAATCGCGAAGGTGTGAAGCCTGATCCAGATAAAACTGCAGCCGTTTCAAAGTTCGCAAGGCCTGTTTATGAGAAAGCAGTGAGGCGTTCTCTGGGTCTCTGCGCCTTCTACCGGCGATTTATAGCAGGTTTTGCACACATCGCCTCTCCACTCACCTGCCTCACAAGGAAAGACGTTGCGTTTGTATGGGATGAAGAGCAAGAAGCCTTGTTCGAGCTGCGACAGCGTCTACAAACTCCACCCATCCTCGCTCACTTTGACGAGAATGCACCAACAGCCATTCATACAGACGCCAGCAATGTGGACCTAAGTGCTGTTCTTGTCCAATGCCAAGATGGTGTGGAGAGAGTAGTTGCCTACGCTAGCAGAACGTTGACACGCGCCGAGTCCAACTACTCAACAACGGAGGAGTGTCTGGCTGTCGTTTGGGCAGTTGCGAAGTTCCGCCTGTACTTATATGGCCACGCTTTCCATGTTGTAAACGACCATCGCTCTCTTTTTTGATTGACCAACATGAAATACCCATCTGAACGTTTAGCACGATGGAACTTACGGCTCCAAGAGTACAACATGGCCGTAGTATACAAGTCCAGAAGGCAAAACTTAGACGCCGACTGTTTGTCAATGTCACCGATTGAATCACCGGCTACAGAGGATGATGAATTTACAGGTTTTTTAGGAGTTGTTGATGCAGCTATCGTTTCTCGGCAAGAACAAGACGATCGGGAGCTTAACTCGCTTATAGAATTCTTGAACGAACGAGCCGCGTGTTTTGGAAGAGTGTTTTTGAAAGAGCTTATCGTCATTCTGTTTACGGGACGAAATTCTGTAAAAAAAAAATTCTCATCAACAGGTAGAAGCTATTTGCTCGTAGTTCGTAGTTCCTGAAGCTCTCCGCAGCAAAATTTTACAAGCCTGCCATGACGAAGCCACTGCGGGCCACCTCGGTTTCACAAGAACACTGACACGCGTCAAAGAAAAATATTACTGGCCTAGAATTGCAGCAGAGGTAAAACATTACGCCCGAACATGCATTGACTGTCAGTGGTGCAAG